GAAAAGTGCGTGTGGATCGCTCGGCGAACCAATAGAGACCCACGTTGGATGGCACAACATGTCCGGACAGCGCGGTCTGGATGTATACAGGCGGTTTGGAAGTCGGCGTTGGAGACGCCCTAAGATCAAAATCACGGAGGAACATGTCTGTTTTATCTTGAAAAGGATCCAGATATATTATAAAGGTTCATCAGAAGTATAAAACACACAAAAATACTGAGAATTACATCGAGATCCTTGAGCCATCGAACGTCCATTACCGCAAAAACAAGACTTTGACGTGCCATAGTCACCACTGATTACAGAAACGGACTTAAGTGTTCGTGCATGTGGCCTTAACCAGTGTGCCAATGTTGCAGCTTATGCCATTGAGATCTTGAATTGAACCGAAGTGGCTGACACTAAATTTCGCCATCTTGCACTCATGACTGGAATCTACACTGCACCTTAGTTGATTCCATCCTGATGAATAAATTCGAGGAGGATCAAAGCCCGAAAGACCAGCTCAAAGATGAAGCGACGCCATCAGCCACGGTACCACCCCTGCGAGGACTAAAAAAAACTCTAACCAAAACTACTAGCCGGACCATGCAAGGCACCGAGACTCCCCTCATGGGCTCATGGAGGGGAAGGAATAGATTGGTTTTTCATGCCCGTATTCTTGTGTACCCATATATTTCTGAGCGAAGGGTCTTCATTGCAACATAATTGTAATGTACTCCTTTTGTTTTTATTGACTCCGCATATTAGTTTTGGTCAAGGTCAAGATTTGTAAACTTAGACAAAGTTTGGAGACAAAAATATTAACATATACAATAACAAATCAATACCATTAGATTCCTTATTGAATGTACTTCACATCATATAAATTTATTATAGTAACTATTTATATTATTTTCTCTAAACTTGATTAAACTTTGCAAAGTTTGACTTTAGTCAAATCTAATATGCAGACCAAATAAAAACGGAGGGAGTAATTAGCAAGCAACAAGTTCGCTATAAAGTCTAGATTGCCCTCTAATATAATTCCAGATAATCGCATCATGCACTTCAAAAACAATAATACATCATGCTGTACTCGCAATGACATGTGTAATAGTTACAAAACTAGACAGAAATTGAAACTTGGTTTTTATTGTTGTCTGTCGATTGGACCTCGTTGGACTATAGTCAATTATTCTAGTTCTATCAGAAACCTAGGGAAATGTCCTAAAGAAAAACCTAGGGAAATGATGGTGTATACTTAAATCCCGCAAAAAAAAAAAGATGTTGTATACTTGAAAATTGGAATACGTTGGACTCTAGTCCATTAAATAAGATAGAGGAGATTGCTTTATGCAAGCACAGAAATCGATTAGAACATATGTAACCAATATTTTACGGAAATCGGTCAGTTAAACGTATTTTCATCACCATGGTCCCGTGGCTAGCAGTTGCAGGTTGACAAAAAGAAGAATGACCAATTGTCGAATTCATCCGTCAATTCACTTGTTCTGACCCTCGCCAAAAGAAATCACTTGTTATGAGATAATTACAGCATATATTTATCAGAATTCATGGGAACGGTACAGTTTTTGGACACGTCCATGCATCAGACTTTGATCAGCAGATTGTCCACACCCCATGCGTGCTGCTGGTGTAGAGAGGGGGCGAGCGGAGGGCTGCCGTCCACTTCAGGGCGTCCAGAGGTCGCTGAGTAAGGCCAGACCCGCAGTCACCGTCACTCGTGTCCTTGTCAAGTATCCGATCCGTTATCCCACAAAAAAAAAAAGAATATCTGTTCCGTTACGGATCAGATCTGCAGCACATCAATTGTTTCTTCCTCGGCGATCTTTCCCAATACATTCACGGTTGCTGCGCGGCCCCGTTGAAGACAACGTCGGTGTGGTGTGTCCACAGACTCTAGAGCACAAATATGATTTCCGTACACATGTCCTTTGCATAGGCGAATGAACACTGGAAAAGGAGTATCTATTGTTTAATACTGAAATAGATGTATTCGAAACAGATGTATCTAGAGCTAAGGGTAAGGGCTGAGCATACATGCAGGACATGGAGTCAGGATCAGGATAGAGGAAACATATGGTGATAAGAATGGAAAATGAAAGGCCGTGTGATGGTTGCGAGAGGGGGCAAGCAAGAGGACAATGTAGCGGGGGAGGCTACCCATTTGTGCAATTGTGCAATGTATGACCTTTCAATAAATTGTTCAAATTTATACGTATCCTTGTTATTCCGAAGCAAAGTATGGTCGGGTGGTGGTTAATTTCATGTTTGGTGAGACCATAATAGACCTCAATAATCTCGTAATTATCACCCATACAAATGAAGAGCACATAATTTGAAAATTAAGGAGAGTTAATTATATATGCATTTTTTAACACGGTACAATCAAAGTCGCACACATACATAAGCATACACTCACCTCTATAAACGCACACACGCACATTCTACCCCTATGAGCACCTCCAGCGACTTGAACTCTGGTGGACAGAGGATACCACTGTCCTCCTAACCATCCAACCACAGGTTGGTTCGCATTATAAATGTAGTAAACATAAGCAATATGGACAATAGCAGCAAGTATCCATAGGAAAAAAAACATACTATAGCAGTGCAATAGCAAGACAACACAACATTGATCAGCCCCTATTGATGCCAAGTTTCATGTCTTCAGCTACATTTACCTTTTCTGGAATTATAACACGATAAGCTCAATGTTCGGGGTCGAGTCTTGGCACCCTAATATTTGGGATGCCTTTTCTTTTCCCCAGATAAGATCTAAAAATAAACTCATTAATACAAATAGAATTTCTCAACTCATTTTCAACAACATTTTCATGCACCTGCAGTTCAAATTTGAAGCATATCCTTTAATTGTTTAGAAAATCACTTAATAACTTAAAATATAGCAAACAAATCCTGAAAATGCCAAATTGTGACATGTAGCATATGATGGCGTATGTTGAGTGTAGAAAAAAGTTTCAAGGTCCAATAAGCTCAATGTTTGGGATAGAGTCTTGGCCCACTAATGTTGGGGGGATGCCTTTCATTTTCTTGTATCAGGTCTAAACATAGACGCAGTAACACAAATAGAGGATTTTTAACCCATTTTGTCAACTTTTTCCTGCATTTGCATTTTAAATTTTAGATTATATTTTTAATGCCAATAAATACACTTAATTGCTTAAAATATAGCAACAATTTTTTGTAGAACATGCCTGATTTTTGCACATGGAACTTATTACATTGTGTTGCTAATGC